AATTAGTCTTCGAAGGTGGTGGAGTAATTATGGTTTCTCTGGGCGAGCTTTGTCAGAATAATCGAAGTTCCTGTGATCTTCTACGCCGACGGTGTCGCACTGCTGACGAGTAAATAACACGATTCAACTCTTGGGAAACTCGTTCAAAAGGAATCAGTTGAAAATTGGAAAATCGATTCGACGAATTTCTTCGGTAATTAAGTAATTGATCGCCACTAATAATTTATTTTTATTTTTACAACAAATTTGACCGTGGTAAAATAAATCTTCTCTAGGATGAAATTACTGTAGGAATCAAAGCACCCTTTTGAAAACGTTTCCCTTTCAATCTAACCCCGAAACGGGTACACAGAGCGCGATCAGGTTTCGTCGAATCTGCGAACCGGATGGCGAACGATAGCAGGGATGAAAAAAGGATTCGACGGTGCATTTTTAAAACGATAGACGTATCTCGGATGTTCGAGCATTTCTCTGTCCATTGTCCTGCCAGCGGACAATGACGCGGTCGGAAGGATTCTGTGCGCGAATTAGAGCAAATCCTTTCTCTGAATGTTCGCTCTAATTCGACAAGAACTGGCCGCAACGAGACGCTCAGCGGGGAACCATTCACGAATTCGTCCGTGAAGAAACGAGTCTGAAATGAGTCCTCGAGATTATCTGGCTCGTCGTTAGCGGAGCATTAAAAATAAGCCGGCGGCCATGTTTTGTCACGGGGACAATTGTGGCCTGTCACAACACGTGGCCGGCTTGTCGAACTCGCGACTCGATCGTTTGCTTTAACACTTCACTTATTTTCAGTATTAACTGTAAATTTTTTTTTCATTAATCTCATTTCAATTTCTATCATTACGCTATCGATAAAAATGCCCCTGTAATAACATTATTAAAACGCGAAAATGGATCGTTCAAACCGCAAAATCGTTCAATAACGAATGCAACCACGATCCGACCTGACCTGTGCAACAGAGTCAAAGAGAGGCACAAAAATGCAAATCAAATTGCAAATCAAATAAGACGCCTCTCTGTCTAATCTTCCAGCTCGAAATCGCGCTCCAGCAATCTCGTTTTTTAATGGAGCCCGATCGTGCAGATTCGAACTGCGGACGATTCTTCGGTTCGCGTCGGCGAAGGTCCATTGTACTCCAAATTGGCTTTTTATGGAGGGTTAATGTAACACCGAAGACGTTTGGCTATTTTTTTTTTTCTCTTTTCTTTTATTTTCATCACGATTCAGTGATCAGTCGAGTGTTACTCGTGGGAAGAGGAACTGGTTTTTGAGCACTGTCGAAAATTTTGCATCTTCCAATCCAGAAATCACGAGATTCTTAATTGCGATGTGAAGAAAATTTGATTGAATGAAATGTTACTAATATTTCGTTGGAAATATAATGAAAGTCGAAGGCTAAAATTATTGATGCATAAAATATTGATATTTCTTATAATTACATCGCTTGAACGAACGTGGATTTAATTGAAACTCCTGGGGCAATATAAATCAGTAATATTTGCTATTTAATTAGAGTGTATAAATATACCGAAGAACCTGTCTGGATAGCTAGTTTATCGGCTAGGTTAATTAAACTCGGTTAATCGTTTAATTAAATAGCTGCCTGAATGATCCATTTACGTTAATGATAGAGAGCAGGGGGGTTTATTATGAAACAGTAATTGCAAGAAATATCGAGAAATTCAGGTAATACGAATATAATTAATTCTATTGGACGGATTGAAAGTATAATTAGTAAACGAGCATTAGAAGAAATATTAAAATGGATCCCCTTCTATTCAGAATTAAACGAGAAATTTAATAGAAATATTACGAAAGAGCACTCGTGGCCTATCAATTCAGAAGGGTCTCTCTTCGTTTCCACTTCCGGTTAAGCACGCTAATTCCGGGTGGCACAATAACGCGAGGGGAAACTTCGAACCGGCCACTTAGCTCTGTCGAAATCGCGAACATCCGATTTCCTTCTTACGCAGGCTTACGTCACTGTTCGATCAGGAATTCTCTTCAAATTCTGAATTCAAGAATAAGCCATCACCGTCGCTCCCCATAAACGCAGGATCGTTTGTTATTACGGTATTACGGATATCGAATGTCCTTTTGGTACTGGCGCTTCTATCCTCTGTCTCCGTCGTTTTCTCGGTTATAATGCGTACCGTAGGAAAAACCGAGTCCTTGTATACAATGCTGAAGCGCAGGCTGCAGTTCCGCCCACTTCCGGGCACTGAATGCATTCCCGACTCGTCTAACTACCCTTAGCAGTGAAGCCATGCGGAGCGTACAGACGCGTCCTTTCGACGGTACAATTTCTCTTTCTCTCTTTCTGCGCGTTCTTCTTCTTCATCTTTTTTCCCCTTCATCGACCGCTTTCAGAGCCGAAGAAACGTGGCTCGTGTACGATTACTTCAGGTACTCGAGACAGTGCCCTCGAATTTTCGACGAATTGCGTGCGTCGGCGTTTGAGCTTCCAATCGAAATTACACTTTCTCTCTCGAATATTCATTCGATAACGAAGATATCATTATCGAAGGTGTTAACGTTTCTATTTCTTCGATTCTGCTACGAGGGTGTAGGTTTTCATCGCGACTATTCGAGGATCTCTCGTAGAGACCGGCACACCCTGCAACACCCACTTCCCTTTCGACTTGGATATGGGATACCCCGGACCGTAAGAAGTTAAATGGACATATTATTTTCTGGAAAGGACACTCGACACTTTTACCGTGGCGCACATGTGCGATGGGAGTGGAAAAAAGACAAGGCACGTGCTCGGTACGTTGTTAGCTTTTGAAAATTATGTTCGCGATAACGGAGTGCGAACAGACGTTCACTACTGTCTCGAGATTTGTAGAAATCCTTTCCAGAAACACCTTGGAGAACCTACGCCATTTCTAGTTTCAACAGAATTATTTGCATCGAAATAAAATTTACAATCGGTTAGTCCGAAACTTTTTGAGTTCTGTATAAGAAATCATATTTCTTATATAAAATAATTATAAATAAAAATCGGGGACCGGATATACTTTGTATACTGTCCTATAGAAAATTAATTTCTCATAGAAGTTCGTTCACGAAGTGAGTTTAAATTAAAGGCTCTCCTTGTTCATCGATCACGTTTGCATACGGTCATCTTAAATCACTCTGGGAACAGGGCTACGCCCACGAAAGAGCGCAAACAATCTTCGATACGTCGTCACGCGGTGCTGGTACGGTAATTAACTGTAAGATTGCCTCTAATCGACTTCCGCCAATAAATCAGACCTATTGGCTTTAAGCTGCACGAGTAACCCGATAAGTGGACCGCCCTTTTCAGTTCCTGTTTGTTGTCGAACCCGAATGGTTCAGTGTTTCGTTACGGGCTCCCACTTGCTGCCCAGAAGTTTGCCAGATAGTCGCAAACAGGACCATCGAAAACCACCATTCGGTCCTGGAAAGTTTCCTTTTCACCCATGTAATTTCTCCTTTTTCCACCCGCTGTGACCAGTGGAAATCGCCAACTGTCGCTCGAGAAACACTGTCCAGATCGCCTTCGACGGTGGTTCGTTAAAAATGTTCGAGTACCACTTGCGGCTTTGTCCACCCAGCTTCCTGTAGAATCTTTGGTTGGTAAATTTATATTTTATACTTTACAAAATTTTTTATCTACTTTCTGTTATCTGAGAATAATTGTTCCTCTAACGAACTTGTCAAACTACCCCCACGGGACCTGAAAACAAAAATGTATCCCATCCTCGAATAAAGCAAACGGAAACCCAACAATATTCCAAAGTTGAAGAACAAAGTTCATAACTCGGAAGGTCGGTTAATCCGGCGAAAAATAATCCAAACTGTCAGAGGCAAAGCCCCGAGGGGTAGTTTCCTGAAACGAGACGACTTCCGTGACCGGAACGACGTCCTACTATCGCCACGACGGAGGCCTCTAATCCGTATCGGGCCTTTTTCCAGGATTTGCACGGGATTCGGGAATTATGTTGGCCGCTCGCCGGGGATGATCCTAAATAAACATGGAGCACGGCCACACGACCAGCATCCCCTCCACCCGGTGGCAACCCTCGAGCAAACATCCAGCTACAATGCTCTGTGTATTGTCGCGAAAAGGGCGGCAGGTTGGGTGAACATTTGAAAAGGAGGACGAAGGTGGAAAAAAAGGTGCTACCCTCTGCAGCCACCCTCGCCGTTATCCTCAATGGATGAATGTGCCCCTTTCAATGTACACGCTGTTATGTCACGACCTGTCTGCTTTGGACTCCCGTGGGAGCACGCGAACCAGGGCAAAATACACGAATGCCGTGCAACTTCCGTTGTTGGCTGTTCGCCATGATGGATGAGAATCTGGGACAAATCGATGGTCGCGAAGCGTGCCCATGATCGTTCTTTTTCTTTAAAAATCGACGTTCAGTTATTGTATTGAAATAATATTGGGCTGTTTAGAAAATTCTTACATTTTAAAAAAATATTCAAATTTCATTCCTTTTTCCAAATTTCACTCGATGTTGCGATACAGAATTTCAATTTACGATCTCGAAACCTGTTCTCGCTAATAGCCGATGATCTAGAATGTTAGATACTTCTTCGATGCTTCGATTTCCAGTCGGAACAGGCGACTCTTCAATCTTCCTTTCAGCCATTAGCTCGGCCAGCAAAAACAACCCGAAGACGATGTTCACCGCTTTCATTACGCTGAATTATGCCTTCCTATTCAACAGTGGATCGTGTTAACGCGTTACCATGGAAAAACGTTAATCAACCGCGTACGAAGATTACCATACGTAACAAGAAAAAGTGGATTTCAGTTAACCGGTATGAAGTCCCATTACGTAACGTATATTTTCGTCGTCACGGATCGCTCGACGACTAAATGGACGGCTAAGTGGATTCCTACGGGAACCGCTGGAACCGATAATCGCAAAAACATCATCTGTGTACGCATGCGAAAAACGATCGCGACGGGTAACGAGTTGCAATTACACACGTTCCATCGCGTGGCTCGGTGAAATTCACTTTTTACCATTTCATCGGGCGGCTATAATTATGTCAACTTTGACGACGATTATCATGTAGATTAATAATTTTGTTTATATGGAATAGAAAGAAAATTTTTCACAGTGATGATTCCACTGTGCGGTCAATCAGTAACACGATCATCAGATCTTGAATCCTTTGGACCTCGTTGATTCCTCGAGTGATCCTTGAACCGTTCAAGAAAGAAACGAATTCGTATCAGGTAATACCAGTCGCAAAATCGACGTCTAGTTCCCTTTCGACGAAAGAAACATTCGTCATTATTACCATTGACCGTTGGTCCTGCGGGTCTACCCATTCGGGTTCCACAGGAAGTGGGCCGGTCGGATCAAGGGCCAAGCTGCCCTTTTCCATTTTGGGACGTTCCATTCAGGTGTAATAGTCAGTTAAAGACTATCCAAACATAAGATCCCACCGGTCGCTTCGATGAGCCCGTACTGACCCTCGTGCTTCCCGATGGCAAACTTCTGCCGGAAAAATACCGGCCAGCACGTTTTTCACGAACGATTTTGCAGACTCAATTTACTTCGAAGAAATATTATTTTGAAGACAGCATTTTTCAGTTTGTTTTATTAATTTTTGTTATTTTCTTTTTGCAAATACAACTGTGGAGAAAATTATAAGGCAACTGGTTGGAACTTGCAGAGAATATGTTGAGGATGAAACTCTGAAATTACTTCGCAGGATGAGCTTGATGGAAAAGTTGAAACACCAAAGGCGTGCCGCGAATTTTTGAAGGAGCTAGTGGTTGAATAGTAAAGGAAACTGGTGAGAGCACCTGGAACTTCGTAAAAAGTAACGAAGCGAGAAATAAAGTTTAATCATTTTCAGTGGAAAGCTTCGTTTGCAATTTTTATTCGATACTAACTGAGAAAAGGAATGTAATAGAAACATTCAGAGGCTTCTGCATAATCTTTTCTCTTTCGGATTAAAGTGAAATGTTACGATAGGAAGAGATTAGCCAAGAAACGTAGCTCCATTAAATCGCGATGACTTAAATGGCCCGCAAAAGCACGTTCTATTTAGTTGGCTAATATTTGACTTTCGCCAGATTGGACCGTGGTTCCCTCGCGTCGTCGCTACCACCGTTTGTTTGCACTTTGCCTTCGAGTTTCGGCTCGCGGCAGGTTGATTTAGGATTTAAGGATTTCTACGTTTGTTGTTCGAAGATCACGTGGATAAATATACTCGAGATGATTCCTCTATTTAGGCAACCACGGGTGGCCACCGTTTCGTATTCACAATTGCAAAATTCAACAATTTACAGCTGAATATTCCAGAATAGAATGTAAGAAAATAATTATTTCTATTTTTATAATAATTCTCTCTGAAAACAGCGTCGTCGAAACGTAAGATACAGAAAGAAAAAGTAGCAAGAAGACGATGGACGTTCATATCCTCCATAACCACCGGAAGTTATACGGCAAACCTTTCTCGTGCCGCTTAAATCAACCGAGCCGGCGCAAAGACACCTTAATCCGTGGAGATGCAGTAAAAAATGCTTTTCGCGAGGCCCCCGAGGGAAGCTTTTAAGTCGGTCCTTATCTGAAACGAGCTGCCTTCTTGCCATGGCGGTAGCTTACACGGGAGCGAACAAGAAAGAGAGACGGAAAAGGAAAAAGATAAAAGGAACGCGATGGGCGAAGAGGAACGAAGCGGAGGCAAGACAATGACCGCTGTTCAAACAGCGAACATCAAACGGGTTGCCGCGTTTTCACGAGACTCGCTGCCCTCGCGGCCGCGCCGAGAACCTCCGTATCCCTGCGAAGGATTTTAAGGACATCCGGCAGACTGGAATAACAAATATTTGTACCACGGAAGGTTGCAGACTCGGCGAACCCTTTCATTTGTAACGACAAGTCGAAATTAGTGCGGTACAGAAACCAACAGAGTTTCTGTCTCGATGCGGAAAGGATTCTAGGGTTCCCTAGGAATGTTTTACTAGACACTCGAGCCTACCACCGCGCGATTGCTCCTGATGGGGCCTGAAATAAGCCAGTCTTCGTAAATACAGGTGCAACGCGGAATAATAACTGGTTTAAACGCGCCGACGTTCCGGCAAAAGGGTTTTTCGAAACGAACGAGTTTTGGTTGTTGCAGCAATTGCGAGCGGTAAAACGGGGAATCTGGTAACATTTGCGAAAGTATTCAGGGAACGTTGTTTTTGCGATGGTCTCGCGTCGAGGAAAAGTAAATAATGTTAAATACCGGCGATACCAATTTCCTTTTACTCCTTTCTCTTTTGTACGGCGCTGTTTGGTGGTCGTTTCACGCCATCCTCTGTGGGAAATGGAAGCTCTGTTTGCTTTCGCTGGAACTTGTTGCTCGAATTTCAGATAATTAGGGAACTATTCGGTAGAATTAAATGTAACTCACTGTTAAAGGTTTTCAATGTATTTTATTTTCTGTTTGATACATTTCGGGATTAATTTATCTCCTGTACATTCAATTATTCCATCGTAATCCGACAAAATTCCGATTTTTAATCATTTTCAACGCCGTTATTTCTCACCCTCCGGAAGATGAAAATCGGACGTCGATGAAAACGCATCTTCATCTGCATACGCCAGAAACGGGTTCACGGGTTTGACTGACGAGCACCGCCCACTCCTAATCGTTCAATCGCCAAGAAATTCACCAAAAAGTACGCCGAGGGTGATCGTGGTTGAGGGCCGAGGGAAAAGGAGTCTCGAGAAACAAACTAAGACGAGACCGTTCGGCACCAGGCAACGCCCTTGCACTCCACCCATCCATCTACAGCTTGCATATATTTTTGGGCAGCTAGTTTTTTCCCCCAAGGCAGATTTATCACGTTCCTACGCCTCTTTCGCGGACTGCTCCATCAGTACGCCGACGTGTGGCAGGAAATAATTGGCAGGCTCGAGGAGTGGCCGTGTTTAGTTCACGAATACTCGTGTAAGATTGTTCGGTAAAGCCGTCGCGAATCGGCAAAGTGGAGGGCTGAAGGTGCTGCTTCTTCAGCGTCATTGTTCCCTGAACAGCCTTGAAATCGATGTAAAATTACAAAGAAATTTTTTCTCGTAAAAAGAAATCAAACGCAGAGGCGCGGCTATAATTGTCTAATTTTATTTTTTAAATACTCTCTGAAAGGGTAGAAAAAATGGTGAAATGGAACGGAATAAATTACAAACTTCAATCAAGCCAGTATCATGAAACATCGTTCCCGATTGAAATATTAATTTGAAACCGCGATAATTGCCTACACAAAATATGCATTATTCCACAGGGTACTTCATTACCATTGCAAACGATCGTTCATTGGTCCGGTCTCCTCATTCTACGTGATTTCCATTCGAATTCCGTGTACCGTGACAAGAGGTGCAATCGATACTACCGTTCAATCGTGCACGAGCAATCGTTTCTCTCGTTAGAGGGAAACGTTACAGTTAATTAAGTCACTCGGGACTCGGCGAACGGTGGCGAGTCTCGTTTCTGACACCAACCGTCAGAGAATGCCGGACAATCGACCCATTTCCCGTGGCATTTCTGCAATTTCCTTGGCGACAGTGGCTTGAGTGAACGGCCACCATTACTCCACCATGTTTGGAGCAAACGTTCATCCGGACGGGTTCTTTCAGCGTTTTACCTTGAAACAACTCGGATCGCACGGTTCGAGGAACAAATTTCCTTGACAGTGCCAACTGTTGTGATAAATTGCCACTCCTTTGCTTTCAAAATTATATTTTTCTTTCTTTAATGCGACAGAAGATTCTTTCGTAATGATACTTTTTTTACAGGCCTTGGTTTTTAAAGGGCAGTTTGAAAAATTATAAATATTTTATGGTTTAACGCAATCGTTAACGCAAAGGACACATTGAAAAATTAGAAATATTTTATCGTCTAAATCAATCATAGGGCAAGGAGTTGATTTTGTCGCTGTCAAAGTCGTTACGAATAAAATTCTAACTATCTTTGTCTCTACACTGCACTAACGTTCGAAACGTAAATAACAGGCTGTGTTAACTTGGAGCAGCTCTATCCGTTTGTCAAACAACCTGGAATTAGACAGAACAAAGGGCAGTTGCTAAGACACGGTAGTAACACGAATAAACTTGAGCCCAAGTCCAGACTTGAGCAAATACAGTTGAACATACAGCGTTGAAATTTTCAGTGTGTCGTTAAAATTTGCTCGAATTTCAGAGGAATTCTTTCTGGGACAATAATCAGGGGCTCTCGGAGTCCTAGTTACATCACTGATGTAAACACGATACGTGGTAAGGACTTTTCGATGTCACTGAACAATTACACGATTCGAAGCCGATTCAGTTGTTGATTTTCTTCAGAATCGATCAGTCTTTTATTCATAATGAACGCGGTATCTTTCGCAGAGGAGTTTACAAATTTAATTTTTCGATGGACCAAACCAGTGAGTGCAAATTTCTAATTTAAATTATAATTAAAACACGAAGCTCAATGTTATCCTATTTCTGAAAGTATTTCTATTGCCAGTGAAGTGATTAACGGTTCAAATTTTTAAAGATACAGAGTCAAATAATACTCTTATTTATTATTAACAAATTTTCAGTGTACTTGGTGTTAGTTTCTTATAATTCAAGATAAGAAATCTGGAATCCATCGTCGAGAAATATATTTATCAGCATCTGGAGTTTTTGATAATTATTAATATTAAAATATTTTTTCAGGGTGAAGGCGGTGATGGTCCACCACTGACTAATCAGCAGCTATTAAACGCAATTCGAGATGTAGTTCAAATACTGTTAGGAGTATCTCTACAAGTGCCCGATTATTCATCGGTGAGAACACCAGGTACAGGAATCACCATTTGCACTCCAAATGCTCCCACTGTACCAAGATTAACTATGGACTCAAACAGTACATCTCTGGCAAGGTTAATAATACATTTCCAATTAATTACACAAGCCGATTAACTCTTACACAAAACCTCTGCTCTAATAATTGCAATGATTTTAGATTTAGATCCCTGGATACTTTAACTTTTTGTAATGCTGTTAACATTTCTGATAATGATACATTGATTTCGAAAAGTCAAGAGAAGATAGAAACATTGAATGGTGATCAAGCTGAAAGTACTCCCGAACAGAAGAAGGTACTTTACGATATTTAAATTAAATTTTATTTAAATTATCGAATCATTTATTTTCTGCTTTAGTTTATATCACGGTCAAGTCCAGCAATTCACGTGAACTCTGTAGCCAGATCCGACACGTTTATTCGCGAGGAAGAAGAAAAGGCTAGTGGCACGAATAAAAAGAAAAGAGAAGCTGAAGAGAAAGATCAGATATCCTTGGATCCAGAGAAAATGAGCAATTCCTTCTTGAAGAAAATCGCAGAGCTTCGGGAATGCGCTTACGATGTCATATCGAAGATTGATCAAGTGAAGAAGGTTGGAGAAATGATTGAACGAATCACTGAAATTCAACGAATAATTTTTAAATCAAAATAGGCGAAACTTCTCGAATTGTCTTTAATTTGTTGAACATTCAATTTGCATAATTTTACAGGATATCTACCCTGAAACGACGAAACCCATTCGTCGTCTCTCCTCGATCGGCACTTATCCCGGATCGAATCGTACCTCGACGTTGATGAGACAGACTCAAGCACCGAAGCTTCGAAGATCAACGTCAGCCTTTCCAGGAACACCCACGTCTTCGAAATTGAACACGACGATCACCGCGGGCAAAGACGAGGCCACGGCGAAACGTAAAAGTGTAGCGACATCGAAAATCTCACCTACGATTTGTACTCCATCGATGTCGATTAAGAAAATATCACCATTATCAAGCGGTAAGCCCGCGAAAAATCCAAAATACGCCCACGTGCAGAGCACGATATCGAAAACTTTGGTTAACAAACGAAAAACTTAATCGCAACAAGAAAAATCATAGTAAATGTTCGTTCTTCTTAAAGAGAGTCGCAGAAATTTCTTTTAACTAGAGTGAATTTGTTGTTGGTAATATTAAATATATTTTAATGGATTTGTTATTAGGTCGCTAATTAATATTTATTTATGAAAATCATATTCTTTTAACGTTTTAGTATCACTACAGGAATCTTATAAAATTCTCTGTGTGAGGGGATGATAATTAATTCCATCAATTTCGTCAAATTGGGTAGCCAAACAAAATTTTGATGAAACACGATTTAGTCGAATTGTAATTAAAAAAAAAATAAAATTTTGATGAAACACGATTTAGTTTAATTGTAATTTAATAAAAATAAAATTTCTACCGAGTACAAATTATTTGAGACGATGTTTAATCTGAAAAGGAGGGTTTGATCCAGTTCGCCCGAAACAGGGGGTATTTCTGGCCGCTGGTGATGGGCGAGAATGAATCGATGCCAGTGTCCAGTTCGATTAAAATCTTAGGACGCGCTGTTGCACGAAATCGCGGCAGTAAATCATGAAAAAGAGAAAATCGATCTTCACGCCCATTCTGGACAGAGGAATCGGCGCGCCGATCGCCGTGGCTAGCTCGCGGTCACCCTTCCGGCCAAATTCGTCCGCGATCAAACAACGAATGCCAGGGCTTAACAATTTTCGCCTACCGACGCTCTCGTTCTTGCATCACGCTGCAGTTTCGGCTATGCAACCTGTTCGAAGGGGGAGAAAAACGAGAATGCATCCAGTGCATCGCTTCGGGCTGATTCACCCACGTCGAGACTGCGATCCAGTTTCGAAAGCGCTTGTATGATTGAGTGTACGTACAATGGTGATGTAACTTCATCGAAACGAGATAACAGTCGGATGGTTCAATGGAAATTATGTAAACTGATCCAGGTGTGAAAAGAACGATGAAAAATTGATGCCTGTGTATAGTGTCGTTTGTTAAAACTTTTGGATTGTAGGAGAAGGGAGAAAAAAAAAAGCTAGACTCGTCAGTGGGGCTGACAACAGACGATCCCTGCCCCAGACACCTATCATAACGCAATTCGGAACTCCCCCTTCACTAAACGGCTACAAGATAAAAATTTAATAAAGGATAAAAGATAAATTTTGTTAGAAAAATTGAGTACATAATAATGGTATTGAATAACGTTGTCCAAGAAGTAAAAGATAATTAATTCATGTAATTACTACTTTTACATGCCTATCGTCAGTGTCAGTTCCATCACAGAACGTTCAGGTTTCACGAGATAATTGTTAGTTGAAAGATGACCCATTTCCTAGTAACTACAGTCTATCTTTCCACTGAAGGATCAGATAATCTAGAAGAAATGCCGGTTTCGTAGATTGATGGATGATTGATGAAGGCTCACGGCGCCAAAGCACCGCCTACGCGATTTTTATAATTACAAGCCGGGATACTAATAGTTCATTTGTCTACGTAACTCAGAAACGCGAAACGGTGTCTGGGTTAACCAGTTTTCGAACCTTTGATGATAATTAACCAGGCCAATTCCCGATTAATTAAACGATCGTACGGAATATTTAATTACCCTTAATACCATGTCTGTTGGAAATTAAAAACAAAATAGAATTGAACCCCATCGACACTATTAGTATAAAATTTTAATTAGATCTAGATTCCCATTAACTGTAAGTTACCCCATAGTGATTAATTTTCTATCGAAAGTGCTTTGCATTAAATTAATTCAATCAGCTGATCAATCTCATAATTCCTGTATTAAAATGCAAAATCTTTCATTAATTTAGCAATCCCATATTATCGAACGTGAATTTTACCAACATTAAAATTCACCGCCACGCTCTTCCCATGGAATTCAATTTGCATAACAGTTTGCCGAGGAAACAAAAGTGCCGTCCTGGATAAAATGAAACTATCAAAGTCTCATGGTTCATCTATCGAGTCTCGTGACTTCGATAATTTCATTAAAATTAATGAACAAATACCGCTTTCTGTAGCTTGCGCGCTCCTCTAATGACACGTTTCTCTTAGCCTCCATTAACACGGCCCTGTGATCAGCGCGATCCAGCTGCCACTTTGTCCAGAAACGAATTTGCGGACTGGACCAGTGTCTTTTTGCCATTTCAAGCTCGTCCTCCTTTTTTTTTCTCAGCTCGCAGAGCCACCGTTTTCTTCTTTGCAAAACGCGCGCATCAAAGAGCGTGCACACGGGTTCCCTTGCGGAAGACAGGCTTCACGAGGACAAGCAATTTGCTCGACAAAAACAAATCGCATCTTTCAAAAACATACTTGAGAGCGGGGAAAAAAGCGTGGCCAATTTTCAACGAGCACAGCCTGTTGTTACTGTAGGTGAGTTCCGGGGACATTTAACACCCTCTTTCTTTGACACCCTTCGCCGTGGACGGACGAGTCCTATAAATCATCGAGTAAATCGTGCAAGGGTAAGAGTAGAATTTTTGCAAAAAATTTGGCGGTTTTATGAGCTTGTTAGCTCGTTACCATTGGAATGAAAAGAAAATTGTAGAAAGGTTGCTCTTATTAGTCTATAAAATAGACTAACACTTTCGTTCTCGGTATATTCACAAATTACAAAATAAAACATTTGTTTTTTCATTAAAAACTCTATTAAATCAGAGATGCCAGAATCTGTACAAAGTCTGAATAATGAAACCAGAATCAGATGAAGATTTAATCAAGAAAAGTTGGTATTACGAACCCATCAACTGCATCGATACCTTACATTACCTCGATCCAATAAACCCTCCTTTTCTCATAAACTAAACAAACTTATTGCAGCTTGAAATTCGCGTACTTTCATGATTCCGCTAAATGAAGCACGCGTAATCGTGCAACTGTTCCATCACGCGATCGATACTGCAGACGAAACACCCTGCAATTTAGACCTTTTGCAAACGGGCCACCTCGACACCTGCTGTGAAAACGCACGCTCTATGATTCTCATGCAAGGTGGAGTCTTTTCAGGTAACAAAAAATTGACGTGGTTACATTGTGAGCCATGGTAAAGTTTCATCCCTTAAGCCCTTGCTAATTACTTAGAAATTTGAATTTTACTTTCAAGGGGTTGAAGGATGTACGGAAAAGGGACAGAGGGGTGGGGTAGAGAAATAGGAGTAGAGGACTCGATAAACGCCAGTTTCGTAGTATTCTACGCCGACAGGAAGTGGAACGATGATTACACGTGTCTTTTTAACGCAAAAGGCTCGAAAACCAACACCGTAATACGACGGGGTGGCGGGCGCCCTGTAATTCACCACGTCCAGACGGGGCCAGCTTTCGTGATGAGACAACCGTTCTGAAAATTGCGATAGTCGCCCCGAAAATAAGGTGAGATTGCTTCGATGCCGGACGTAGCCGCTAACCAACGGGCCCCTCCTGTTCGAGTTATTATTTGTTTTTGCCCTGGGCGACCATCACGGTACTTATCGAGTCACCGTTCGCCTCAGCTGCAACGGTGCGTCACGCCCAATCCTCTTCGAGATGAAACAAGAGCAGATAGAGAGCTGTCTTGTTGCCAAAAAAATGCGTGGGTGTTGGGAACGAGCCCACTCAATAGGTGACGGAACAATACTTGCTACGAGAGTTTGATTTTATAATTTCTGAGGTGGTTAGATTGACAAGCAGATGGTTCTTAGCGATATCGCGAAAAAAACAAGTTGTTTAAAAAGCGTTTTTTCTCGTTGAAGCAAATTTGCATTTATCAATCATTTATTCCTCTTGTTTGCACTTAATGTCTTCGATAAGAGTATCGTGTTCCTGATGCGCTATAGGGAGATAAAGTCACGTGTAATTACTGGTAAAAGATTTTATATCAGGATATTCTGTTACTAAATTAATTATAAATTCATAATGATTAAATCTGTGTACATTTGCATTCAATTAATCAATCTTGAGTGATAAATGAAGGAGGGTTTGGGGCAGCCTTTAAAAGTGATAATTATATGTAGAATCTTCCATATTATTAACCCCTTCTCCCATGATTTTTGCGATAGTTGCGTCAATCAAAGTTAAGTATTTATTTCTTCAATTTTAAAACAAATAAATAAAATTGAAATATCATGCAACGATCCTTGACTAGGTAAATTACTTTTTAAGCAAATCCAAAACTACCCCTAAAAATTCTTGGAAACGATTCAAGAAAACGATTCAATACACTTTTTAGGGTGCAAGCTTAGTAGTCTCAATATTGCATCCCTCGAACGAAGCTGCGTAGGGTCATAAAAATTGATCGCTGCCAAGAATGACTATCGAAGGACGGCCTCCCTTTTTTGTAGGTCGTCCATTGAATCGAGCCGAGGGAGCTTGATTCACCCAAGAGGTCCATCTTTTCGACGAAGCTAGAGAAGCGTGGAAAAAAAGTCGTCGAAGGCGCGAATCGAGTAAATTGGCGGGGAAGCGGGTCCAAAGACCGGCTGCAATTTCGGCCCTCGGGGCAGCGGCGCCTCTCGAACGATAATTGATATCACCTGCCATGTAAATATCGGTTATCGGCGTGGCCCGTACCTGTTGGTGGAAAAAGGGCCGCTAGGATGAAAATTACCGAACAACCGGCGGTGAGATAATTACGTGTTGGTTTTAGAAAAGGGGGAAGCACCGGTTAATTCCACACCGCGCAAAACGATGCCCCGGGGGTGATTCCCGGCGATCCTTTTTCGCTCGAAACCGTTCGACGAGAATCGATCCGACCACTACGGGGTGCAGAAATAATTTCGCTGGTGGAATTGGACGATCCGATTTTAATGACGGAATTCTTCGGAATTTAGTTCTTCTGTGTGAAAATCGAAGCGTGGGAAAAGTGATATGTGATTGTTTTTCGAATCTTATACGAAGAACTACCCAAGTGTTACACTCACTTATTAATGAAACTTTGCCAGTATGTAGAGTTCGTCGAGCTGAATACGCCATACCCCCTTTTGGGGGCAGACGGCTAATTGTTTAAAAGATATTAACAATTACAGTTAGTTACTCCTTACATTCTGAAGTATGACAAACTCATACATACAACTCGCAATCTAGAGATCCACAGTTCAAATTCTTGGTTCCCAACATTTTTTCTTTTTTTTTTAATGATAATTTGTCCCTTTTTGAATAACTATTACATAAAAATTATTATTAAAAAAAAAAAAAATTTTTGGGAACCAAGGATTTGAACCATGGATCTTCAGATTACGAGTTATGGACCCGCTCCGTGGTTAAACACATGACTCGCAATCTAAAGGTCCTCGGTTCAAATCCTTGGTATCCATTTTTTTTTTTTATTTTTTTTTTTATGATAATTTGTTTCTTTTTGAATA